GCTAGTGAGATTGGGCACACGACGTTCTTGTATCATAATTACCTGTTGAAGACTATCTACTTAGTCGAGCTACCGGTATATCATAATACCTACCCCGCGATATTATCTGAGACGTCTGGCAAGGAAAGAAGCTTAGATAATATCACGTGAGATCGTCTATTTGGACAAGGATACTGCTTTACATATGTTTTAGTTTTGTATCTATGAGGATTCTTTCCCTCTTCGTAGACAATCTTATCAACCAGATTCGACATTGTCAATCTAGCCCTCCTATTTTCGAGACATATTGATTACCATATACATCTATCTCATCAGATAGATCTGAAATCGTCGATCTATCAATATCCCTCCTCATGGTACATTGTACATTGACTTTACCTCCTCACATTCGACACACCAAAAAAAAGATATATATATTTTCTTTATACACTAACAGTTGCAAAGATGGAAGATAATCCTTGGGATCTCGAAAACACTGGTATTCCACGATCTCAACAAAAAGCATCTGTGGTAGAAAGGTTTAAGGAGCGTGACGCAGAATTTGTCAAAAGATATCCTCTCCTTTGCTCCGTTCCTAGCCAGGAATTGTTCATCCAAGCTATATAAAGCGGCATCCTAGATAGCAACGCAGTTCAGCTCAGTGAAGATATCATGGCTCTGGCAACCTCATACGTGCAGCTAGAAACAGAGCTGTTTCAGAGTAAGAATGATTACGACGCGCTGTTCGAGAAATTCCAAGAGCTAAAGGACGACTACTCAAAGTTCGATGGACAAAAGAGGGCTACGGGTTCAAGCAGCTCGCAGCTGCAAAATACTAATCCGCAGCAACAAAATGTTAACCTGCAGCAGCAGGTCAGCACCTTGCAGCAAAGCGTTACAAACCTCCAACAGCAGAGCCAAGCTCTAAGCCAACCCTCATATGATCCTCCTCAGAATGCGCACTCTATTCATCGATCAGCCGAGCATCCAGATCCTGAACTCTTCTCCGCCGATGATCCTAAGCAACGAAAAGACCTCCCACTATTTATCCGAAAAACAAATATGAAACTCAATACCAACGCTGACTGGTACCCATCGGAGTAGAGTAAGATGGTCTATGTTATCTCTCGGCTAGGAGGGAAAGCATACTCGACAATTGCATATGGAATTAAAAGGGATGGCACTGTCCAGTTCCCATCCACCGATGCCATTTTAACTTTGTTGGAACAATCTTTCTCGGGTGTAGACGAGATAAATACTGCCAGACGAGAAATCTTATTAATCAAACAGGGTCAGAAAGACACGGCGACACACATCATCGACTGGTTTGAAATCGCACAAAGAACAGGCCTCTCTGACAACGCTCTAATAAATCACCTTTATGATTCATTGCACCTAGAGATAACAACTCAAATCAGAAATCGAGTCATGCTTCGTCAGGTCATGCCAACAGATCTCACCTCATACCTTGTCGAGGTCCGACACATCGACGCGGTTCTGCGATCCTCAAACCCGAATACACTAAGTCTAAGCCAATCTCTGAAACCTATCTCCCATACACTCTTCCATCCTCAGCAACAGCATCCATTCCAATTGGGGAGCCTATGGATCTCAGCTCAACTACAACCATCCCAAAAACCACTTGGACCTCTGTCGACGCCGCCATCCACCGCATCCCTCGGACTGAAGCAGAAAAATGTGCTAAGAGAGCATACTCTTTCGAAAACAAGCTGTGTAGCTGGTGCTACGACCCTGGCCATATAGCTAGAGTATGCGCCGAAGCACGCTGGAATAAAGATAAGCCAAGGAACGCGGATAAAAAAACTGTGATAGAAGAGGGAAAAGCCTAGTCCCTGATAACAGTTGCTCTCAAGGACCCGAAAAGAGTAAGTCACAGAAGAATCCAAATGTACCCAATGTAGAAGTCAAGTGTATCAACGAGGAGAAAACATTACAAATATGTCACGAAAATGGGAGGGCTAGATTGACAATGTCGAATCTGGTTGATAAGATTGTCTACGAAGAGGGAAAGAATCCTCATAGATACAAAACTAAAACATATGTAAAGCAGTATCCTTGTCCAAATAGACGATCTCACGTGATATTATCTAAGCTTCTTTCCTTGTCAACGTCTCCCTTCAAGTTTTCTACTGCAAGTGCATTTACACCATTCATCCAATGTGGATTCCGTCCTATCCTTGCCTCTATCATCTTTCAACTTTTCTCCGTGCAAAATGTGATCTTAGGTGTCTCCTTCCCAAGGCGAGTAGGTGCCCAGGCTACTCAAACCATACCAGAGAGCACCACCAGGTAGCATACTACGGTACCTTGCATCGTTGGCTTGTTTCTAAAGTGTCAGCAGCACTCTCGCAATCGAGGTCTTGGGGAGTACAATGCTCTTCAATATGTGAATCTCCCTGCCAAAATTCGAAATCTCACGCCCGTGGAGATTTTCCTCTTCCACTGCATCATCTTTTAAGTTTGTCCTGAATTCTCTTACCTTCATCCCCAAGAACTTCCTCTCAAATTTGTGCGCCACGATTTTTGTCCTCCTGCGGCTATTGGTATTTTCATGGGCATAATCATAGTGATCAGCTGAGGCCTGAGAATTGTCGATGAGAGGTGTGATCACAGAGGTTAGGTCGTGCTCGACTATACTTGTAGACATTATGAGACTTAGGTAGGAGTCAAACTCGTTAGGAGCGAGAAAACGACATAGTAAATTATTTTAAATTATTGCCTCGTGGGCCAGCTTCTATAGTGTTGTGAAATTTGGCCTAACTTGGCTCTGGAAAAAAATTTGACTCCCAAGTTCGTAGCGGACACCGCGTACAGGTGTCTAGTCGTGCCCTCCTGGGAAGAAGAGTTTTGATGCGCGCGAGACATTTTGGCATCATGGGGGACTATTCTCAACACCTGTCAGTGGTATCCCCGACGAACCTCTAGCTCTCACTGTAGAGTCTGCTGAGCCGAGATTTAGTAACAAAGTCCTCACTTCGACGAGGATTCCCAATCACTTTCGTGGCCTGTATCGTCTTCATCTCTCAACACATTCCCCTATCACCATTATCATGAAGCTAACCACGATTAGATCAGATGGTAGGGTCGGAGCCCTACTCATCACCAAACCTTGATCATGGAGGAGATGCCACCCGATGAGTTTCCGGAGTGTACCCAGCACCCGATATGGAGATGGCGGATTGGATCAAGTCGACTTCGACTGTTACAAAGAAGGGAGATATAGATGAATATGCGCACCTCATGTGGTCCCGGTGTCTAGGCCTCGCCTAGCTGGGCCTGCAGGTTTTTTGAGACTTTTTCCCGCGCACGCAGTTTCCATTGCTACCATTTTTATTTTTTTTGGGTAGAAGGTTCCGTGGAAAAGGTGGCTGAATGCCACGGGTAAATACTGAGCTGAATGGCTATTCATCACGGGCAATGTATCAATGATCTTACAAGTAACAAAAGGGGATAGGAGCACTGTACAAGGTGTGGGCTGGGTCAGAGAGAAGCCCAATATGCTAGATAGTCATAGACTCAAGTAGTACAATAAACATCACTCACTCACTCAAAACATAGATATAATCATAGTAGAGCAAAAGTCTTCAATGAGGTCAGGAACAAGGGTAAAGGACCGGGCTTTCCTGCATTCAAAAGATAGCAATATGATTTGGGAGTAGTCGAATCATTGGGTGAAGAGTCCACTCGGGTGGAAGGTTCTAGAGTCATGTGGAGATAAGGATCCCGATAAGCGCAGCGATCTGCGTAGACTCAGAGATGCTAGGATTTAGCAGGCTGCACGAACATGAGCCCGTCGTGACCGAGAGGAAGTGCTCAGACGGCTAAGTCAATCTGGTTCATTACCCTGTTTGGGCGCTGCATGGATAAGCACTTTAGCCTGCAATAGTTAGTGGTATCTCGGCTTGATTCATGACACCTTCCCCGCACGGTCAGCGCAAGCCGTGTGCAACTTCACCCATTCACGCCTCTCAACAAAAATCTTAAGTACATTAACTCGGCGTAGCCAGAATCTGAATTCACCTTCCTCCAGCAGGCTCTCTCGCGCCTTGGCGCTGATTAGTCTCATCAGCCCCATGTTAAGCCTAGTCATGAGCGAGAGCGAAGACGGTCTACAATAATTAGCCCGTCAAAGCCCCGTGTGGCCCGTTGTAGTGCTGCTGATCAGCTGCTTGACGTCTAGAACTGGGGACACAGCTAGGAAGCCTATCACAGCCGTGCGTTTACTTGGCTCATTTCTCGCTTATCCCCACATCTTCATGACACGCTTATGTGCACAACACAATTGCCATAATATTCGCCTTGTTGTAATCCCAACCCGTTACGCTTGTGAGCCTAGGCCCTCGACCTAACGTAGCACAACGATTGCTATAGCATTTATTCTCTGAGAATTCACAGTGTACCAAGCCCCTTTAATCTTATGTTAGCCGCCAGACGCTTCATCCACCACAGCTCATTGAGCCAGTTGTGACTTGAAAATACGACACTCTCAATTGCACACATTTCAGTGTTCGAGCCTGACCGACATAGATATTCAACTTGTAGAATATTCAATCTAGAAAAACCTGATATTATGTCGGACATAGCGGGATTGAGGCGTAATGCAATGAAGGCTCATTAATATCCAAAAAGCTAAGCCAGCGCCAACCCAACACGTCGCATTCCATAACCACAAATCACGCGAATTACACATCTGGAGTCTATGCCTTTCGACGAAGCGTTCATTATATCTTGTAATAAAATATACAAATAGTAGATAAAATTTTCCCAATCCTGTTGCCATAGCGTATCTCAAGCTATCTTCTCATCATCCCAGGGTAGAAACTCCGCCACCAATGTCAGACTCCGCTCCCACCAGGCGAATCTAATAGCACAACCACCTTATCCGCCTACGATAACGAACTCCAGAAAAATCATATTTAGTGAGACATCTTTAAAATATTTTAAGTGTTCCAGGGGTTCTTTGCTACTCAACCGTTGCATACTTGTTTCGATTCACTTTTTCACAGCCTACCGTGACGAGCCTTGAAGATCGCCACTTTATCATCATAAAAGAGGATTTCACGTAGTCGTAATCGTAAATTGGTTCCATTCTCTTCCGAACATTCAAACGAGTCAGTATCTGAGCTATCGTATTCTGACATTTCAGAATCAGTCTCATCTAGATGGATACCAGGAGTTGATTCGGCCACTGTGTTGTTAAAATTATCGTCCTCGTCATCATCACCATCTTCATCATCTTCCTCGTCTGTTAAGGCGTCACCGGAACCTGAAGCCGGAGTGCTAGAATGAGGATCGGAGTTTCCGTGAGATTCGTCAGTGGATTGTGTTTCGAGGATTTCGAAACATTTATGAAGGATTCCCATGTAACAAAGTTCTATCTCTGGCCTCAGAACAATCACATCGATTATTTGAAGCGCGAGTTCACGAGGATCAAAACCAGTAGTAGCGTGCTCAGCAATGTATGGGATGTTCAGCGATCTAAGATGAGGAATTTGGGGTAGTCTTTGTAAGAAATGATGCTGAGAAGCATACGGATTAGCCAAGATCTTATTAAATAAAGGATTAAGCATTGCACACACCCAATCTTTGTAATCTATCGCCATACTAAGTTCACGTAAATTACTCATTCGTCCGCTAGTGATAAAATTGAGAATTTTACGATTAGGCATCCACAGCATCCACTGAGAACTATCCGAGCCAGGCAGGGTTACAGGCGAGATTTTATCAGAGCTATCAAGCATCAACCTTTTTAAACTCGCACGATGTCTCCTTAGTGGACCGCGGTATATGGCATCCTGCTTATAAGTTAGACCCATCATGATATAAAGTTAATTACGACTCACAATTTGTGTTCGTGAACGATTATAATTATTTCGTTTGCGATCCTGTAGAAACAGAGTTTCTAGGCTATTTGGAGCAAGAGTCTCTTTCAAAAATGAAATCAGGGCCGGAGATGCTGCATCAGTATGAACCTTTTTGAGATTAAGATGATACTGTAACGAAGAGTCAACCCCACTCCTGATACACATGGGCTTTTCAGAAAGAGGTGTAGGATTGAAGTTCTTTCGCAACATTTCCCACAATCTTTCATGCTGAGGGCAATCAAGAATCGTCAAGCTGGTTAGATTAGACCAGTCAAATGCTCTTTGGAGCACTGCTATAGATAACGGGACCATTTCAAGCTCTAGAGTCTGGAGTTTTAACTTTCCGTTGCTCTTCTCCCTCTGGATAGCGTCAGTATCACAGACATCGGATTGATCCTGAAGATTCATTCGTGACTTTTTGGGAGACATATTAATACTTTCGACAGAAGTGTCTAGATTTTGTACCGTGAAACTTAAACTATCTTCGTTACTTGACATGGATCTAATTGGAAATTCTAGGCCAGTATGAATGGGCTCCAGTCCTATTTGAGCCTGTTGAGCACCATCTCGTAAATTTTGATTTGAATTTGCGGTATGAGACGAGAATGGGAGTCCTTCGCTTAGTACTGTATCTTCCTTTGTGCCATCGTCGATGGCACTGTGGGAAAGATTTGAAACAGCAGAGCTGGATCGATCAAGTGAATTTTGGAATAGATCTGAGGACAGTGCCTGTAGCTGGTGTGTTGATCGTCCGAGGGAAGTAGAATTAGAAACTTGTTGAGCAGAATGGTTTTTTAGGGTCTTTCTGCGGATATCAAATATTCTTCCGGTAATAATTCCAAGTACACCACCCAGCCTCTTTTCCCCAATTCTACTTGCGCCGGACCAACAAGCTTTGTGATCGACTTGATAAAAGCCAGGGCCATCCCACGGAATGGTAAAGTCTCGGTCAACTGCTTTGGAAGAGATACCTACACGAAGCTCACGGAGGCAATCCTGGGACTTTTCGATAAGTACACTCATTTCCTCGAGATAATCTATCTCGTCAATATCGAGTACAGAAAGACTTTTAAGGGACGGAAGCACACTTAGATTAGGATACTCCACCCGGCTATTTGCGTACGAGATTGGCTGTGCCTGAGATTGTATGGAATTCAGATAGTTTGAGGAAATTTTCCATCCTATGGGAGTCATTGTTGCACGCTCAGAAAGCATTTGAGGAGTGGTTCGCGGTGCAATAGCTGCTCTTTGTGCTGCGGATAGAATTGTTGACTCTGAGTTATCATGCCAGCGGACCCATACTCGTTCTAGCCTGCATTCTCCATTTGGGCTGTTTTTTTGAAGAGAAGAGAGTGCAAGCCAGACATCTCGTAGTACTCCTGTTGGCATATCCCAAACAAATGTCTCGAGGTTGGTCATCCTGGCTACAGCGATAGCGACTAAAGTTCCAAGCATTTTCCCACTTTCTTTGGTGATGAGATAATCTTGCACCCAGTCGGCTGGACCATTTCCAAGAGAAAATTTTCGTGTGTATTGAGAATAATGGTTACCAAGACCTCTCTTGCTGGTTCTTGACCTTAACCTCAAGCTATGCCAGCAAGTTATATTACTTTCTGCACCACAGTTGGAGCAAGTGACTTGATTCTCCCTATTCTGTCCGTGGTAAACATCTCCCATACACAAGGTTGCAAGGCCGTAGGTTAATGCATCGACACCGGTTCGGGGGTTCGTTGTTGCGTGGGCGTCCGGCCACACTATATCAAATCGAGAATATAAGGGAGGGATAGCGAGTCCATGAAGAGCAGAGTGTGTTAAGGCCAATGCTGTTAAATCATTTGTGTGGGTAATCTTGGAGTTGTTAGCATATATAATCTATGATATACAGGTATGTCTTCAGATAACTAACTTCCTTGACTATCAACTTTAATATATCAATAGGCAAATCCAAAATTTGCAACGGCCCTTTTTTCGCAACGATGGCAGTCCACTCAATTTCTCTATCCTTGAGTAGATCAGAGATCTTAGCTCTTGGGTCGACTTTGCCCTTACCACACTTCTCTTTGCCCAATTTTGGACTGCCAAGCGCGGTTTCTTCCATGCTGTTAATCGGAGAGTCTAACCCCGTATTTTGAGATGATTGTGGCGCGAGAAAGCCCCAAGTATTTACAAGGGGGTTTTCAAGTTGCGAGCTATTATCACGAAGGTTATGGTTGTGGGCACTGCTCATGATGGCTTAGCAAGGCAATCTGTTCAAGCTCCTCGTTCTCTTCTTTGCCATACGTTGCTGGCGCATGCTTGAACAGTTAATCGAGACAGTCTTTGTCTGCCCAAGAGACGGGAATAAATGAGCTCTTTTGCTGACAGTCTACATGAATGTTAAGATGACAGGTCCGTGCACTGACCCAGGTCGAAAATGAGGTATGCCTACTGATAGGATTAATCTACTTAGCCTGAGGCCTTCAAAAGTCTAAATTGAAGATTCGCATGTTGATTTAGCTTGCATGGCTGACAGGCTTCGGAAGCTTCTAGGCCAGCTTTACATCTAGCTATTAGTTGATGCCATATTTGCAGTTATGGAGCGGCAATCAACATGAGCTAGACCCACATGAAAAGAATCACATAGCTACGGGATCAATTCACTCCGCTCTACTATGTATAGACAAGCACATACGTGCATGCTTAGCAGCAGTTAGTCAAGCAGAGCCCTGGCATTTCATCGATCCAGGGCGCATGCTATTAGTGGGCCCTGGCAGGGTTGACTGCCAACTTCTGATCGCACCTCAGTTGACTAATCATTCTGGCATTCTGAATGAAAATTTCAATACTTAACTCGGATAAAATACAGGTGCGAATGAGACCGAAGGACCAATTACCGTAAATTTTAGTTAGTTTCTGACTGTGTTGATGTAAAAATTAGAATAACGGAAAACATGGAGCCAGAAATTTCCCATATCCCCGATAAATGAGCCATGTAGAGCAGGTGAGTCCAACAACTAGAGGATACAGGGGGTCTCTGCCATCAACGGTTTGCCGCAACAAGGACCAAGGGCCCAGCAGCTTACGATGCGTTTTAGGCTGCCGTATTCATTCGACCACAAAACTCTCTCAAGGACGTGTCAAAAGCCTTATCGAACTGGGTTTGCAGAGATCTCAAGTAACTAAAATTACCATTTATACTCGAATTACCATGGAAATGAGTGACATGATCTCGAACACACAAATCATATCAATCCTTATTGAACTGCGCGTTGACAAATCACTTCAACGAATCCTTACAAGGGACATGGTGTTTCGCTGACTTTCGCAGTCCATAGATCAGAATGCCGGATATTCTCAACTAGTTTTTTTTGGAATAAACAAAAGTTGGCTTCGAGCGTTTGAAACCGATGAAGCTTCGAGACTGACATTGCTTATCATCTAAAAACACCCTTTATGGCTGGATTATACAACACATGTGAGTTAAGTATTAAAAGCTGCTCATGATCAATTTTAATAACCTGGAAATAAGGCAACCTAGTGTTCCAGCTCTACGATCATCATTTTAAATACGTGGCTCACGAGTTGTTTTACTGCATAGTAGGCACAGATAAATAATTTTTGGTTGAAAACAAGAGTGTACGGTTCCTTTTAACCAGACTCGAAATTGTCGTGATACTATGAGCGGGATGATGAGAGAGCTAGAAATATGTTATCTAAACAACTAGCCAGCGCTACACCCTAATTCTGGCTTTAAACAAGTAGCGAAAGTTAGAGCTGGTTTAAATGGAGAAGGGAGATACAGATAGATGCGCGCACCTCGTGTGGTCAGTAGCCTAGGCCTCGCCTGGCTGGTGCTGCAGGTTTTCTGAGACTTTATCCCGCGCATGAGGATCCAAAATTGACGGACCTCTAGATTAGTACGAGGCTCTGATAAATTGTAATGCTTATGTAATGTTGTCCACGTTGGAGTCCGGGCGCAAGATAAGGAATATATATATATATAATTCGGTATCCTAATTTGGCGCCTTGAGGCTCATGCAGGTTTTTATCGCAAGATATGTACTTTAAGTAGGATGACTCAATTGGACGTTTAGAACACTCACACTCAGATTTCATTTGCAGATACCACTCGAGGTTAACCCTTCCGGCGTTTAACCTCTTTCGTACATACCCACCACAGGAAAAGGAGTGTTATACCTATGAACGTCCGATTGTGATTTCAACTTCACGCCCAAGATCACGGCAAGAAAGTGTGATGCGGGTCTTACAGGATTCAAACCAGCCTCCCACCGCCACGAACGGGGTGGCTCTTGTTTCTACTTGGGAGAACGACCCGACTGGTGTACCACTGCACCATCCGACCCATAAGAGGAGGTAAACCTTAATTAAATAGACGATACCCTGTATCAATAGAAAATCAAGTTACATCTAGTCTTAAGTTCTACTACCCATATAAGTAGTTTGGAGCCACGAGACACCCGTAACCCTTACCATCACAAAGCTAAGCTTATCTCTCTTTCACACATACTAATCCATCAGGAACCTCACCCTGCGCCTCATCCCTATCTTCCAAACGTATCTCATTTCGAGTTAGAAACAATCTCAGCATGGTCGCCTCCCACCCTGTTCATTCTTTGGCAGACTGTACTGTCTGCTTGTAGTTAAGAATTGGATGCACTTCTGCCATCCCTTCTCCCATATCATTTCCCTGGCCCCAGGTGGGGCCATTCTCTCGCAACTTCTCCAACATTGCAAAGCAGGTCGGCACTCTGAAAAATGCCAAGGCCTTTTATCTCGGCCGCAAACGCATTTCAGATCCTCGTGTTCGAGGTTGAAACGTCCATGGTAGTCGGCGTAGTCCCCGTGGCCTGTTGTTGCCGCAATAAAACGATGGTACGCCCATCTCGGTAGAGCCAGTTCTGGTGGCTATTCGTAACGCATGAAGAGGTCCAGATCTTTGTATCGCTTCCGTCGATACTTCTGCCACCGTTTTTCTGCGAGCTCTTAGCCGCGCTGTTTAACCTACCTCCCTATTGCCGCAAAGGTTAGATGTAGATTTTCTCCACTGGGAGCAGCTGAGGTTAGTGACCGGTTATTGGGAGCTCCCAAGGCTGATTTGGCCAGCTTATCGGCCTCTTCATTGCCTTGGATCCCCACATGACCAGGTATCCAGCGTATTTACACACGCTTATTGTGTCTCAGAGACGGAAACTTGTCCACCACTGACTGTGAGGAATTAGATCTTCCTCTTTCGAGCGCCCTGGTGGCCGCTTGGTTGGCAAGAAGAATGTAAATCGGTAGGTCTTCTCCCACTGTTAGTGCAGCCTCCAAGGCTTTCGTGGCGCCTACAACCTCCGCGTCGAATACCTCTACTCCGGGAAGTGGACCGGAACCACTCCTAACTAGCTTACCTACTTGGTAATCTATGTACCCCAGGCTAATTGTCCAGGACTCGATGACAATCCATCAGAGAAAGCACAGACTATGTTAGCTGGAAGGGAGGCTAACCACCGCTTTATGCTTCCAGACCTAGCTTCTTTTTCTCGACTACATGGAATCGATGCTGGGGTGCCACGTGGGAAGAAAAGCTTTCCAGGGCCTTAGGCTGTCGGAACTTGGCGGACACCCATTTGCAGTCGTGTCATATATCGTTCTGGTTGTCTAAACAAGCGATTTCTTTGTCCCGATCTAAGACCTAAGCGTCTTATTGTCTCTTTCAGTTCCTCAGCTGCCCGAAGGGCTAGATGATGCCAGTCATCTGTTCTTCGCATACGAGCTGCAGACCGCAGCATATTTTGCTGGAGAATTTTCGATGCCGGGATATTTCCGCTTCACGATGAAGAGCGCTATTGGGAGTGGTACGCCACACTGGGAGTGCTACTCGGATAGCTTTCATTATCGTTTTGTCAAGTAGAGATATATGCCGGCCTACTCCAGTGCCGACTTCTTTATCTTGCAGTGTGGTTCTTCGAGTGAGACCCGGCCACCACGCTTCTACCCCATATAGAGCTGTGCTCAGAACGCATGTATGTACCGCTCGAATCAAAGGTGCGAGTGCTGCACCGCGTTAAGTTCCGTTTATAAGTCGTAAGAAATGGATCAGACGATTAACCTTTCCAGTCCATTCCTGTACATGCTGCTTGAAGTTCAACTGAGTGTCAAGCCAAACTCCTAGCCACCGGATATGAGGTGACGGTTCGATCCAGCGATCTTTCACCAAGATAAAAAGATCAGCCGCGTTGATTTTCTTTCTAGGCCCTCCTCCGGTCACCAGAAGTTCTGACTTTGTTGGGTCAAAATCAATCCTGTGTTCTCTTGCGAGAAGGATAAAGCTGTCGAGGTCATCTTGGACTGCGGGGATAGTATCCGCCGCGGTGTTTACAATTCTGACAATAGCTACATCATCAGCATAACCAAACCTGCTCGATTTACCATGATCCCCAAAAGGCACAGCGATGTAAAGCATGAAAAGAAATGGTGAAAGTGGCGAGCCCTGAGGTACTCCGCATTCCAGTATCTTCTCTTCTGTGATTACACTGCGGTATTTCACCTGGACTTTTCGTTGGCAAAGAAATGTCTGGATGAACCGGCACAGGGATAGTGGCCAGCCTTGTTCTCGAAAGCGTTTGAGCAGTCGGTTGTGAAGGACTGCATCAAATGCACCTTGAATGTCAAATATGACCATAGCCACACACTTGCCACTTCTCATGGCTGCCTCATCATCATGGGTTTTATTAATTAATTAATTAATTTATTTATTTCAACCATTCATTGTTCTAGTTTAAAGTCCTATGCGGTATCTATATATAGAATCATGAAGACGGTAAGCCATGTTAAGAAGAGAAAAAGCTTTCAACAAACAAAACCCGATGTCCTCCCACTCTGAACCGACCCGGCTTAATGCTGAGGACGTTCCTTTCAACCACAAATTTATAAACTTTCCCCAGAATTCGTTAACTCCCCCTTCGATCAGACTAACGTTATGAGAAATTAAATAGAGAAGGCACCTCCTCACTCGGCGTTGGTCTTCGAAGTGTTCGAAGAGTTGGCTCCGATGGTGGTGCTGCTGTCGGAGCGATGGTTGGTACCACTGGGGCTTCGACTACCTTGCGTGGTCGTCCCGGCCCTCTTTTGAGTCCTTCAGCCTTCTTACTGGTGACCAAAGTGAATTCTTGGTCATCAGTCGTTCCGACTGTTCTCATTGGCGCCGTTGTTGGTTTTTCATTCCATATTACCGCCGTTCTTGAC